TAGGAATCTCTAGGTCTGGAGCCAGACAACCTGGCTTCAAATCTTACCTCTCTGCCTGTTAGGAGCTGTGTGACCTTGGGCAAGTTAGTCAACCTCTCTGTGCTTTGGTTTCTTCATCTGTAAAGAGCAGATGATAGTGGTAACTACCTCGTAGGATGTGTGAAGATTGAATGAATCAATATGTATAAAGCACTTAACACAATGCCTGGCGCACAGAGAGTGTTGAGGAAGAGTTGGCTCTGGTTGTGTTGCCATGGTTACCTGGCTGTGAAGTTTTAAAGCTATAGAAATCCCTTTCCAAGACACAGATTAGCAAAGCCTGCTTTGGGGTCATGTTGATGAAAGGCCTTCTATTTCCAGTTTCTAACATCTCAGAGGTACAAGAGGCGGGGGAATACCAGGTTGGAGTTAATGATTATCCTGGCGTGAGTTTGTGCTTCCTCTGTCCCCCAGGTCCTCCCAATTAGAGGCCTTCGCCTGACGGGGTGGAAAGGGGAGTAATTGGGCAGTGACCTGTTGTAGCCCCATTTTCTGGTATGTTTCACCCTAGGCATCCACAACAACTATTTGTTTGGTGGAAAAAAAATCAAAGGCCCCGGAGGAGGGGTGCAAATAGCTCAGGGAGTTCTCCACACTGAGGACTTCCTTTTGAAATGTCCACCAGGCTTCCGTCCACGGACTTCCCTCCGTGTCCCTCCCCAAACCCCCTCAATTAATTATTGTTAGTATTATTATTGCCATGCCCTATTCCGTGACAGAAAGGATGAGTCATTCTCCAGGGTCCATCTTTCAGTACGGTACGCTGCAGACCGGTACCTCCCAGATTGTCAGATGCACGTAAATCACTCAGGGGACCTTGTTAAAATGCAGATTCTGTGTCAGTGGGTCTTGTGTGAGGCCTGAGAGTGTGACAATTCTTGCCAACTCCATCTAATTCCACCCTGTCCTTGTCAAATGAAACGTGTAGAAAGAGTAAACATTATGGGTGTCCTAAGTTGGATCTGGGATCCGAAAAAAGGACACTGAATAGAGTCTGGAGTTGAGTTACTACTGTATCTGTGTTCCTTTCCTAGTTCTGTAAGATGTTAACGTCGGGGGAAGTGGGCAAAGGCATGCAGCAACCCTCCACACTATCTCTGCCACTTTTCTAGAAACCTAAATTTATTCCAAAATAAAGTTTATTTTTATTTTAAAGTGAAGGAAAATAAAAAGAGGTAGAGGACAAAGAGGGTGGGAACTTCCAGATGACAGGATGTAGTGGATCGGTGAAAACAAAACCACCCCTTGGGCGGAAAAGTCACATGCACTTTTACACACATCCTGTTGAACTAGACTTCCAAGGATGTGAAGGTGGTACCCAGGGGTCCGTCACAAAGACAGAGGTGAAGACCCAAGGGTGGGCAGGTCACTTCAAGCCCTGGGTGGAAAATCAGGCTTGATAGTGCAGGGCCTAGGGTTTTCACAGAGGGGAGGTGGCGAAAGCAGAGCCCTGTGAAGCAGGAAATTGAGACTGGAAGCCTTTCTCAGAGCAGATACTCATGAGGAGTTCCACCCTCAATGTAAAGAAGACTGGCGGGGGTGGGGGGTGGGGCAAGGGGGGAGCGTAGCTCAGTGGGTAGGGAGCCAACCACATGAACCCAGGCTGGCGGGTTCCAACCTAGCCCAGGCCTCGTAAACAACAATGACAACTCCAACCAAAAAAATTGCTTGGCGTTGTGGCGGGCACCTGTCGTCCCAGCTACTTGGGAGGCTGAGGCAAGAGAATCGCTTAAGCCCAAGAGTCTGAGGTTTCTGTGAGCTGTGATGCCACAGCACTCTACTGAGGGCGACATAGTGAGACTCTGTCTCAAAAAAAAGAAAGCCAGGGGGAGGGGGTGGGATCCTCCTGTCGGAGGGAGATGACAAAGTAGTACACTTCATCCTAAACTCAGGGAAGAAAGTGCTAGACTTCCCTCTGCAAGGTTCTTTGATGAGGTCTGTGCTGTTAAATTTGAACACAATGGTAACGCAGTGTGTCCAGTGCTTTCAAACCATGGGTTTATACCAGTAATATATTTTAAATCTAGAATTAGAGAAGTAACCCAGACTATACTTCTAATCAGTTGTGTGGGCTGTGGCTTAATGTTTGATAAAGAAAATACAGATAGGCTAAGACATGTGGGTGTTTGCTGTGATGTTTGCGATTGCTGCACTGTGGGGTTATGTCCCATTTTTGGAGTCCCGCCTGCTGTCTAGGGTAGGCTCTCTCAGCCTGGGCATCGCTGACATTTTGGATCAGGTCATTTTTTGATGTGCACTGTAGGATGTTTAGTAGAGTCTCTACTCTCTAGATGCCAGTAGCATCCCCACTCCAGCTGTGACAACTGAAAATGTCCCCAGGCATTGTCCAGTATTCCCCAGGAGGCAAAATTGCCCCTCACTGGTCACTGGAGTGAACAACCACTCCAGCTTTCTGGGAAGTGTAGGGATTCCTAGAATGCGGAATTTGGGGTCTTAAAACTGGGATAGTCTTGGGCACACGAGGACGGATTGGTCACCTGCCTTCCATCTCTAACATCAGTATTTAGGATGCCAAGTAAATAGAGATGAGCAGAAGTGGGGAAAGTGGGTTAGCACGAGCACAGTTAGACTCCCCATGAATTATTCCAGCCACTCGCAGGCAAACTTAGCAAGGACCAGCAAGTGTCCTTGGTTACATACACGTGGAAAAAGGTGGAGAATGCCTTGCTGCTTCTTGTCCAAACCAACGGAGAAACTGCTGCAAAAGTAGACCCCAGGGAGTGATTCCGCTGAGCCTCTCCGTGTAGTGGGCACTGTCAAAAGGCCCCACAAAGAGCTCAGCAACATCCAGCGTTACAAGGGGTCCCTTCAACCCTCTCGACCAAGGCATCGAGGCATCGAGGTGATGTCCTCTTACACCAAAGCTCCCCATCAAAAAGGGAGAAGACTGAAACCCAGAGAGAAGTAGGGGGAGGCCGAGAAAGCCACATCACCCACCTCCACAAGCAGAGCTCTTTGCCTCTACCACATAGAAGAGGGTCAGGAGAGCAAATTCAGAACCAACTGCCTCCATGCTGGCATATACCGAAAGACAGATGGGGAGGATTGACCAGGAACAGTAGAATCAACCAGGACCTTCAGCATTGCTGTTGGGGGTTAGGAGGGGCTGGTTTTGGTCAAATGGGCCAACTCAGTGGCTCTGCCCAGTCCTGGGAGCAGAGAAACATGGCCTAGACCCAGCCTGTTTAGCATAGCTCTCTTGATTAAAGCAACTGTCCCTTTCTTTCCCCATAAAAATGCACAGAGGTGCTTGTGCACACACACACACACACACACACACACACTTTTGACTTTGCATTTTTATTTCAGGGGATTCAGTAGACTCCTAATGCCCATCAAGCTTGTTTATAAAATCCTGAGCTAATCATTAATAATCATACTGTGACATATTCCACATATGTCAATTACTTGGTGAATTTATTTGGTCCAATTTGTTATCCCAGCAACTCTATACAGTCAGCACTGTAAAGACCATCAACCTTGTCAATTTCCCATGATGACGCATCACAAGCACTTTGGAGTCAGGAATGTCTGGGTTCAAATCCCTACTCTGCCATTTATTTGCAGGATGGCCTTGAACAAGTCACTCAACCTAAGCCCCACTTCCCTCTATGTGCTTGGCACGTCATAAATAGTCAGTGTTACCTATTACTTTATCATCCCATGAGCTCAGCCAACTGCTATAGTAGCTTGAAGGCAAAGATTTCACAGAAGGGTGACCTTGACCTACTTTTGGGTGGGTGGCTGCAAAAGGGACCCCAGACATCAGCTAGTCTGATGGATAGGAAGGGAAAGAAGAGGTACCAAGGAAGGACGGGGACCCAGACTTCCCAGCCCCAGTCTCACACATTCCCTATGCTGCACTGCCTGCCTCACAGGTGAGCCACCCAGCCTCACATGAGGAAGGCTACCGGCATGCCTGCCGCCCACTGCCAGTCATCCTGAGTCGTGGTTTCCAAATAAAGTATCTCCTAAGAAGCCTTCAGAGGGGCTGAGACTTGAGAGAGCTTTATTATCTCAACCATGGTAGATCTTTTTATTTATTCCTTTTCATAATTAAGACAAAAAAATCCTGAACCCCAGGAGTCCAATGGGCAGAAGATACAAATAGCTTTGACTATAGCTTGTCAATAAACATGTGGAAAAAATGGGCACTCTCTCCAGATAGCTGAGAATTGCAAATCAGAACACGATACCATTTTTTTTTTTGCTTATGAAATTTGCAAAGATCACCATGAAAGTGATAACACTCAGCGTTGGCAAGGGCAGAGTGAGATGAGCACGCCCAGACATTACCGTGGGAGTATAAATTGCTTTCAGGAGGCAATTTAGCAAATTGTATCAAAGCCTTAAAAAATCTCTCCTTAGAAAAATCATCAGAAATGCTGAAAGAGCTGTATGCACAAAGCAGTTCATTTCAGAATTATTTGTGATAGTTAAAAAAAAAAACACAGGGAAGTGATCTAATTATCCAAAAATAAGTGCATGATTAAATAAACCCTGGGAAGGCCCCTCAGTAGAGGATTCGAGAGCTATTTAAAACAATGCTTACGAAAATATATAAGAACATGAGAGAAACATTCATGGTCTTCAAGCTTTATAAGTCAGGGTACTGACTGGTATGCACAGTACGATAGAATCACAATTCATCTTTGAAAATCATTGCGTACAAATGTGACAGGAGAAAGGTACCCATTAACATTTTCCGAGTGTTCTGTGATGAGCATATGTTACTTTTATTATTTTGTAAAATGTAGGTGTGCATGTGTTTTTTGGACTTCAAGTGTAAAATTGCATTAATCATAATGGGATGTTTTGCTTGGACGTATTCTTTACTTGAATATATTCTTGAAAATATTAATAGGAAACTATTAATAAGCTGTGGAAACAGTGTCAGCACTCCCAGCCTTCTTCCCAGTCTGTTTCCTCTCTGCCCCCAGCCCTGCCAGAGCTGCCTCAGCCTGCCCTGTGCCCCCTGTTCTGGATGGAGTTCAAAGGTCACTGCTATAGATTCTTCCCTCTCAATAAGACCTGGGCTGAAGCCGACCTCTACTGTTCTGAGTTCTCTGTGGGCAGGAAGTCCGCCAAATTAGCCTCCATCCACAGGTGAGTGGGATACCTGGTCGTCTGAGTCCAACTGAGCACCCCTTTGGGGAAGGGGGTGGAGAATTGTGTTTCCAACTGGTATTTCTCTTTGGTGATTAAAGCTGAATTTTTGTTTTTGTTTTTGAGTTGTCCAGACTAGAGTGCAGTGGCATGATCATGGTTCACTGCAGCCTCCAACTCCTGTGCTCAAATGATCCACCTTCCTCAGCCTCCTAAGTAGCTGGAACTACAAGTTGTATGCCACCCTATACAGCTAATTTTTCTAGTTATTTTAGAGACAGGGTCTCTCTATATGTTGTTCAGGCTCTTCTTGAACTCCTGGCCTCAAGCAACCCTCCCCACCTTGGCCTCTTAAACTGCTAGGACTATAGGCGTGACCCTCCACCTCCTGCCTGAAGCTAGTTGTTATCCAACTAATTTCTCATTAAAATTATCTTTGCTGATGGAAGGCAAAGCATTTAGCAGGGGTAGCAAATACCGTTCTGGAAGATCCATCTTTAAAAGTGCCCAGCCTGTCCTGTGCCCTGCTCTGTATCCCAGGGGCTTTGACCCTGTGAATCACCTGATATACTTTACATATATCAAATATAATGTAAACAATATAAAGAATAACAACTGAAATCTATTTACTAAGTGTTTTGTGGACATCACCCCATGAAATCTCCCTCAAACCATATGATGTAGAAGTCCTCATGTAACAGATAAGGAGCCTGAGGCTCTGACAAGGTAAGTGATTTACCCCCAAGTTACATGGCCTACTTACATGGCCTGCTTACATGGCAGAACCGGGTTTTGGACCCGTGTGGGAAAATTCCATAGACCGCCCTCCAAGGCTTCCTTCTACACTCTCTGTGCCTCCTAAGCCCCAGCCACACTGACCATCTCAAAGTTTTCGTCCGGCCCATTTTCCTCCTCCATACCTTTGCAATTCTGCTCCCTTTGCTGAAATTCCCGTCCCTATCTTCTCCGTCTCAAACTTCCAGACAGCTCTGACAATACCTCTTTCCTGAAGTCCCCTCTGACTCCCTGGCGGCCTAATTACACTCGTTACCCACCTCCCCTGGAGTCCTCCCTTCCTTACTGTGTACCTGATGGTTGTCGCATCTGACTTCCCTGCTGATCTGGGAGCTCCTGAGCCAGGTGTGTTACGTTCCATGAGTACCTGAGCTACAAATCCCAGTCTTACTTCTATTGTTCAAGAATCTCAGAGGCTAAGTTTGAAAGAGGCTTGGTCCTTTATGAGTAGAATGCCTTGAGTTTTATTAAGAATAGAGAAGGGGTCCTTTATCTTAGTTTCCAAATGAGTCTCTAATCCACCCTTCTCTTCTTCCCACGGAGATGTCGCACACCTGTACAGTGAGTCTGAGAAACATACGGAGCTAGTCAGAGTTTAACCAGGAAACCAGGGGCTGCTATAGGTATTGAAAGCAGAATCAGCTCGGCGCCTGTGGCTCACGTGGCTAAGGCACCAGCTACGTACACCCAAGGTGGCGGGTTCGAATCCAGCCCGGGCCCACCAAACAACAATGAAGGCTACAACCAAAAATAGCCGGGCGTTGTGGTGGGCGCCTGTGGTCCCAGCTACTTGGGAGGCCGAGGCAGGAGACTCGCTTGAGCCCAGGAGTTGGAGGTTGCTATGAGTGTGATGCCATGGCACTCTACCCAGGGGGACAACTTGAGGCTCTGTCTCAAAAAAAAAAAAAAACAAAGAAAGCAGAATCTAAGACATACACAGTGACGGGAGCTGTGTATGTCTCTTAGACCATAAGAGAGCGTAGTGAGGTGAACTAGAGCTGTGGAATGGCAGAAAGTCGATTCCACAGCCCCGTGGAGGGCAGGATGGAGCCACTGAGGAGAGGCAGCCCCTGCAAAGACTCCCATGCAGAGAGAGAAAGAAACCCCTTGGTTCATCTCTCTTTCTCGTCCTCCACTGACTCACAGATGCCTTCCATTTGCTGGAAGCCAGTAGATATGGGAACCTGGGAAAGGCATTATTCAGAGCAGAGCACTGTCTGGGATTGCTAGTTATAAAGATGAGTGAAATAAATTCCCAAGGAAGGGCTCGCCTGTAAAGGAAAATGAGGCATATAATACAGAGTGAATATCAAAGTGATTCCAAATCCAGATTGTAGCCAGGCTGTGGGGCAGACAGCTCAGCCTGCCTCATTGTACTTGCAGCCTAGATCACGGGGAACTGTCCATCAGAATTCCAGACAAATACAGCAGTTTTTCAGCAATCCCTGACCCAGCTCCTGTTCTTTCTTGCCATGAGTTTACCTGCTTCCTCTCTTCTCAGCTCCTAGCGTCTCTCTTTCTCTCGTTCCAACATTCTCTCCCTTTCCTCTCTAATACAGGTTCTTTCCTGCTTTGGCATATAATACCTCCCTGAAAACACGTAGAAAAGTTGAACTCAAACACTATATTCGCCCGTTATAAATAGGCTTCGGTTCTCATAAAGCTAAGTACTAGTATAAAATCCCCAATTGCATCTCATCCCTGAGACGTGATCCCGTTCTACATAGCTCTTCCTTCATGCCTTTTCATTTTGTTTCTTTCCTTCATAATTAAACACACAAGCAGCTCGAGTGCACAGAACATCTGATTAAAGTTTAGGATTTTCATACTTTCAGTTTATCTCATAATTCCCACTTTTGTTTCAAGTAACGGTTAAATTGAATTAAGCTCATTTCATCTCAGCTTCTTAATACTTGCAAAAGCGCCCTGGGCCTTTCCTTTTCCCAGTTATTTTGATCAGATATGTGGGAAATGCAATCAGATATTCAAATAGCTTGTCCAAACAGGTGCTGTTGAACAAAGATGGCGATGATGCTAAAATGACTAGGCCGCCGTTCTACTGTGTGACTGCTCAAAACTCATGTTCAGCAGTTAACAAAAGAGAGCCTGAATTAGCATGAGAGACGCATTTGCGGACACCATTGCTTACCCAGCTGGGTGGACCAAGGTCAAAGACCATTGGATGGAAGAATGCTTTGTCCCCAGGAATCTTATCGCTCTCATTTTGGACAGAACACAGGCTCTCAGAGCACCAGCATTGAGTAGAGCGTGGTGATGGTGTAAGGAGAAGGTGTCAGATAGAAATGAGGTGATGTCAGTCTGTATGTCCTTGCGTCTGGTTTGGGCACACCAGATCTTGAAAATAGAGAAGTACACCAGCCAGCCAGCCCCTGGGGGTGCAGGCACTTTGGGCTACAGGCGGTGAAGGATTTAAATAAGGGATGTTCATGGAAGGTTTCCTGGAAGAACAGGTCTCGGGTCTCGTATCAGGATCTTTTTTTTTTTTTTTTGAGACAGAGCCTCAAGCTGTCCCCCTGGGTAGAGTGCCGTGGCATTACAGCTCACAGCAACCTCCAACTCCTGGGCTCAAGCGAGTCTCCTGCCTCCGCCTCCCAAGTAGCTGGGACCACAGGCGCCCGCCACAACGCCCAGCTATTTTTTGGTTGCAGCCATCATTGTTGTTTGGCGGGTCCGGGCTGGGGATTCGAACCCGCCACCTTAGGTGTAGGTGGCTGGCGCCTTAGCCGGTTGAGCTATAGGCGCCGAGCCTCGTATCAGGATCTTAAAGGATTGGGAAGCTTAGGGGATGAGGGCAGCAGGTGTTCCAAATGAAGAAAGCCACAGACATCATGGGCATTGATTAAGGGCATTAGAGCCAGGCAGTCCTAGACCGTAGTCCCAGCTCCATCCCTTCCTATGTGTGTAACCCTGACCATGTCACATTAAACTCTCCAAGTCCCAGAGTCCTCAACGGTGGGAAACAGGAATAACCACACTGACCTTTTAAAACTGTGGGGCACTAATGACAATAATGCATCTAAAGTTTTATATAGTTCTTGGGTAACTCAATGCTCCATAGTTATTATTTTTATTAATTATAATAAATTATAATTCTGTAATTCTACCCTAAGGAAGCCAGTTATTTTCTTAGCATTCTCATGTGGCCCTCTTTCTGAGGGCCAATAATCCTTTTCTCACCCCATCTCTTTCCTTCCTCTCCATGTCCTCCAAGAGTATCTGTTAAGTAGCCCTCTGTGTGTGATTGCCTTGAAGCACTGTGTTAAGGAGGATTCTGAGTGCCACAATTCTAAAGGCTGCTAATCTGGAATGGATTAGCAATGTCTCTACAAGCGCAGAACTAAGGAGCATAAATATAGATACATACTTTGATTGGCTACCAATGCCTCAAGCAAAAGGAAATCTCATCATTTTAGACAAGGTGCAGCCCTTAGGGAGCAGTCATTTGGAAGAAACTACTGGGAGAAGATACATGTTGTTGCCACATAAAAGGTACTACAACATAGTTCCATTTTCAAGTGAGTTGTTGGTTAGGTGTTAGATCTAGGGCTGATTATTGTTATTTTATGATGGTTTCTTTGACATGCGAAAAGTCTGCCAATTTGAGTGAAGCAGGCCTTATTATTTACCCATTTTTTCCTACATCCTTGCCTACCCTTTGAACCTTTGCAAATGACCTTTTCCAAGGTCATTGATATCAAGGCCCTGAGTGAGCGATTATCTTGGCCTTCCTCAGTCTAAGGTCTTCAGTGCAACAGCTCCAATTTTCATGTCCACACATGGCTACCGGCCAATGAAAAAGGATGGGGTGGAAACAGAAACATTCTCCACATACCTCCCTCCTTTCATCATGCAAGAAAGGATTTCCAAGATGAGCCTACAGACTTTCCTTTGTATCTAATTGGCCAAATTTGGTCAGACAGCTAATGTTAGATGCAAAGATGGCAGGGAAAATAAAATGTGGCTGTCCTAGGTTATAATGTAGGCAATGGGTAAGGGATTAAGAATGTCAGTGCAGGCTCGGCGCCTATAGCTCAACCGGCTAAGGCGCCAGCCACGTACACCTAAGGTGGCGGGTTCGAATCCCCAGCCTGGACCCGCCAAACAACAATGACGGCTGCAACCAAAAAATAGCCGGGCGTTGTGGCGGGCGCCTGTGGTCCCTGCTACTTGGGAGGCGGAGGCAGGAGACTCGCTTGAGCCCAGGAGTTGGAGGTTGCTGTGAGCTGTAATGCCATGGCACTCTACCCAGGGGGACAGCTTGAGGCTCTGTCTCAAAAAAAAAAAAAAAAAAAAAAAAAAAGAATGTCAGTGCAGTAGGCAACCAGTAATATCTGCTCAAATGCTGGTTTGGTGCGGGAAAGAAATGAGTTCCTATTGGCAAAACACTAAGCACAGTACCTGGCATGAAGTCAGTGCTCAAGAAACAATGTCATGACAGGATACACGTCTCTATGTGTCTGTTTATCTTTCTCTCTATTCACCCATCCATCCATTTATCCACCCGCCCAGCCATCCATCTATTCATTCATCCATCTCTTCTTCTTTGTTGTTTTTGGCAGCAAACTATCACCAGGGTCCTCCACTAATTTCTTTTGTTGGGCAAATTATTATATTTGATGAGCTCTTTGAAGTAGGAAGTGAGAATCCCCCAAGAAGACACCCGTCCCTTGTAAGGAGAGTGGGTTGTCAATTGCAGAGCTATGGAAGTTCAAGGCTAGAGCTGAAGTTTCCCAAAAAAGGGGGGGGGGGAGTGAAGATGGTATCTGAGAAAAGATTAGGAGAGAAGAAGATATATAAAAATTAGCCATGAGGCGCCTGTGGCGGAAAGGAGTAAGGCACCAGCCCCATATGCCAGAGGTGGCAGGTTCAAACCCAGCCCTGGCCAAAAACTGCAAGAAAAAAAAAATTAGCCATGTAAGAAAGGCCACTGAGAGAGAACTGGCTAGTGGAGATTTTCATTAAGTTATCTGATGTGTGCAATGCAGTGTAAATACTTTTCATGTCCCTTTATGATACTTTCAATATAACCCACCTCCTTTGCTACTGTTTTTGAGATGGATTCAAAATTTTAGGGGTGAATAGTAGTGTTGAGTCCTTTGAGCTGGCATGAGTCAAATCCAGAGATGCCCATGTGAGGATGGCCATGTACAGGAGACCTAATCAAAACTGAAAGCACGATTGCATTGTATCCTCTATTTACTTTGATCCCAGAAAGGCTAACAAGGATTCCTTTCAATTTTCAACTCTATCCTATGAAAAGATTCTATTGTGTTTCTCACATTCACAGTTGGGAGGAGAATGTCTTTGTGTATGATCTTGTGAACAGCTGTGTTCCTGGCATCCCAGCTGACATCTGGACAGGCCTTCACGATCATAGACAGGTGAGGAAGCCATGACTGTCAGGGTCCCTGGGAAGCTCCAACCAAAATTTCATGTTGATCAAACAAACCTTTCACAGATGTTCCAGACCATTGCTATACACATAGCTTACAGAGAGAAATCAGACACCAAGATGCCACAGTTAGAATATGACACAATTTGTGCAAGACGTTTAATGAGGTCCCACTAAATGATGGACACATATAATATGGTCAGGAAAAGGCCCTTTTTGGACTTGGGTTTTCTAAAAAACAGGTACATACCCGTATAGCTAAGGCAGTCTTAGTAATAAGAACAAAGCCGAGGCATCAGCATACCAGATTTTAGGCTATACTACAAGGCCATAGTGGTCAAGGCAGCATGGTACTGGCACAAAAACAGAGACATAGACATTTGGAATAGAAGAGAAAACCAGGGCATGAAACTAACTTCTTACAACCACCTAATCTTTGATAAACCAAACAAGAACATACCTTGGGGGACAGACTCCCGATTCAATAAGTGGTACTGGGAGAACTGGATATCCACATGTAAAGGACTAAAACTGGACCCACACCTTTCTCCACTTACAAAAATTGATTCAAGATGGATAAAGGACTTAAATTTAAGGCATGAAACAATAAAAATCCTCAAAGCATAGGAAAAATCCTGGACGCTATCAGCCTGGGGAAAGACTCCATGAAGAAGACTGCTGTGGCAATTGCAACAACAACAAAAATAAACAAATGAGACTTAATTAAACTGAAAAGCTTCTGTACAGCCAAGGAGACAACAACCAAAGCAAATAGACAACCTACACAATAGGAAAGGATATTTGCATATTTTGAATCAGACAAAAGCTTGATAACTAGGGTCTTAGAGAACTCAAATTAATCCACATGGCAAAAGCCAGCAATCCCGTAAATCAATGGGCAAGAAAGATGAGTAGAACCCTCCTTAAAGAAGACAGACGAATGGCTAACAAACATGAAAAAATGCTCATCATCCCTAATTATTAGAGAAATGCAAATCAAAACCACCCTAAGGTACCATCTAACCCCGAGGAGAATGGCCCACATCACAGAATCTCCTGGGATGTGGAGAAAAAGGAACACTTTTACACTGCCGGTGGGACTCCAAACTAACACAATCTTTTAGGAAGGAAGTATGGAGAACCCTCAAAGAACTTAAGCTAGACCTCCCATTTGATCCTGCAGTCCCTACCCAGAAGGAAAGGCACCTACCCAGAAGGAAAAAAAATCCTTTTATTATAAGGACATTAGACTGTTTATTGCCCCTCAATTTACAATCGCCAAACTGTGGAAACAGCCTAATGCCCACCAACCCAGGAATGGATTAACAAGCTGTAGTATATGTATTCCATGGAATACTATTCAGCCATTAAAAAAATGGAGACTTTATAGTCTTTGTATTAAATCCAATGGAGGTGGAACGCATTATTCTTAGTAAAGCATCACAAGAATGGAGAAGCATGAATCCTATGTACTCAATTTTTATATGAGGACAATTAATGATAATTAATGACATAGTGGGGGTGGGAGAAGGGGAGACCAGAGAGATAAAGAAGGAGGGAGGGCAGGGCGGCGCCTGTGGCTCAAAGGAGTAGGGTGCTCACCCTATATACCAGAGGTGGTGGGTTCAAACCCAGCCCCGGCCAAAACTGAAAAAAAAAAAGGAGAGAGAGGAAGGGTGGGGAAAAGGAAGAGCAGAGAGAGGGAAGGAGGGAGGGGGTGGGGTCTTGGTGTGTGCCACACCTTTGGGGGGCAAGACACAACTGTGAGAGGGACTTGACCTAACAAATGCAGTCAGTGTAACCTCGTTTCTTGTACCCTCAATCAATCCCCAACAATAATAAAAAGAAAAACTATGGGAAGATAGTACAGCAAGTAATTACTTTTTACTTGTAATCCTTATTTACAATTGGTCCATTACTTCTTGGTAACTTAATAAAGGTAAGAGTAAAGTTCAAAAAAAAAAAGCCAAATAAACAAACAAACAAAAAAAGCAAAAAAAAAAAAAAAACAAAACAAAGACATATAAACATGATTAGATGTGCAAGAGATTTTTTTGAGAAGAAATATCTGCGAAAAAAAAGGAAGGGGCATAAATAGGCAGGGAAGATCTTTAAATAATGATGTGGGCGTGAGACTGGGGAAAGGAGAGGAGGAACTGGGTGGGAAGAGCCTCAGCTCACAGCACAGCTCTGAGAAAGTCTTAGCAAGGCCACTGGGGAGTCTCCCCACAAAGAATGCCCAGAACAGGAACCCAGCACTGGGCACAAATGTGCCAGGACCAGGACCTTTGGACATGCTGTGGCAGGGTCTGGGAACAGCCTGGAGGATGTGTGAATGCAGCCCCAAAGGGAAAGAAGAAGCATGGCCTCTGCACAGACAAGGTGGCGAATCCAAGGTGGCAGGCAAGCTGCCAATCAACTCTGCTGCCTGCACTGGTCCTCCTGAAGGTGCTCTGAGCAGTGCACATCTGTGGCTGCCACAACCTCTCTGAGTAAGAGACATCCAAGCTAGATCTAACAGATGAATAGGAGTCAGCCAGAGGCAGAGCATTCCAAGTAGAGGGGTCAGCATGGGCCAGGTTCTAGGTAAGGGAGACTAAGGCACATTCAAGGAAGCTGAAGAAGACCAGTGTGGCAGGGATGTGGATTGGACAACAGGTTAGCAGAATATTATTGGAGAGTAAGGCTAAAGAGAGTGGCATGGACCAGATCTCATAGCTGGCAATACCCACAGGCAAACCCCACCTGGAGATTTCATCCCCAAAGTTTCATCAGGCAAGCTGCAACCTGTGTGTATATTCTGTCTGTGTGACTCCTGCCCTGCCCTAGAGCACTGCAGAGAACAGAGATCCAGTTCCAGCTCTTGTTCTGCTCTTTACTGGCCGGTGGGCAACTTTGGGCAATTTTCAAAAACCTGTCTGAATCTCAGTTTGTCCATCTATAAAATGGGGATAATAATACTAGTGCCTTGTTGGAAAAATAGAAATAAGCCAATGTATGTAAAGGGCTTAGCACAATGCTTAGCACACTGTAAGTATTCATTAAGAGTCCTAAAATAGAAGTAACAGTATGGTTAGACTCAGATATTTCAGATATTTTTTAAATCAATAGAACTCATCTGGTAAGATCTTATTTAGTAGTTATAATGGGTAGGGGTTTTTTTGAGACAGAGTCTTACTCTGTTGCCCAGACTAGGGTGCCATGGCCTCAGCCTACCTTATAGCAACCTCAAACTCTGGAGTTCAAGCAATCCACCTGCCTCAGCCTTCCAGAATGATAGGATTACAGGCATGAGCCACCACGCCTGGGCCATAAGTTGTAATTCTTAAAAGCACTAAAATTAGGCCGGGTGTGGGAGGCTAAGGCAGGTGGATTGCTTGAGCTCAGTAGTTCGAGACAAGCCTAAGCAGGAGTGAGACTTCATCTCTAAAAGTAACCAGGTGGTGTGGTGGGCACATGTAGTCCCACCTACCTGGGAGTCTGAGGCAAGAGGATCACTTGAGCCCAAGAGTTTCAGTTGCTGTGAGCTATGATGCCATAGCACTCTACCCAGGGCATCAAAATGAGACTTTGTATCAAAAAACAAAAACAAACAAACAAAAAGAACCCCACTAAAATTTTCCATTTACAATAGCAACTTTAAAATTGGATTATAACTACATTAAATGAGAGTTTAAGGAAGCTAAATAATAATAACAATAACTAATAAAGGAAATGGACTTGATTTGGTTTGGTTGGTTGTTTGTTCAGGCCAGACAGCATGTGCCAGGCACTATGCTAAGTCCTTCTTGTGCTTTAACTTGTTCAGCCCTCACAACCACTTTGTAAGGAAGATATTCACTCCCTCACATAGGTGTGGAAACTGAGGCTCAGAGAGTTTAAGTAACTTGAGATGAGACCTCAAGCTCTAGTCTTTCTCTCTCTCTCTCTTTCTGTCAGAGGTAAGCATTCTGTTCCCATTATATGACATGGGTTCCATGTTCATCAGGGCTTTGGGGGACACTTTTCTAAAACCTTAAATAAACAGAGAAATGGCTCTTGTGCCTGGATATTGCAAATATGTAGTTCTTTCCACAGTTAGTTTGCACATTTATTACAACACTAGTCAAATTCCCAGCAGGACTTTTCTTGTGAATGGTCAGAGTTAATTCCACATGAGGCAAGAAAAACAGAATAGTGTTAGGCAAAGTTAGGATCTGGGTGCTGGAGTAAGGTACACCCAGTGCTAATGCTTTATTAGCTATGTGAATTTGCATAGACCAATCTGAGTCTCAGTTTTCTCATCTGTAAAATGGGGAGAATGATGGCTGCTTTGCAGGATGGTGAGAATGAAATAAGCAGTGTTTGGCATGGCACATAATACACCCTCAACACATGGCAGGTAGTAATAGCCATAGTAATGCCAATAGTCTTGGATTAATAGCAGTAGTATCAGTGAGGACTCCTGCAGAGAGGGGTTAGGTATGGAGGGGTTAGGTATAGAGGGGCTAGAATGTTATCACTCAGCTACATATAGCTCAAATGCCTAATCTTTCTCTTCTTGGCTTGCTTCTTTGCCTCTGGGTGGTCCTTCTCCCCAGGAAGGGCAATTTGAATGGACAGATGGCTCATCATATGACTACAGCTACTGGGATGGGAACCAGCCAGATGATGGCATCCATGCAGACCCAGAAGAGGAAGACTGCGTGCAGATGTGGTACCGGCCTACCAGTGGTAGGTATCCCGGAGACCAAGGCTCTTGCAGGGGTGCTGGGGAGATGCCTGCAATGACAGGGAGGCTGGCAGAATATTCAGCACCTTGGAGAGCGATCAGAGGTCACTGGAGACCTGGGGCCTGGGTGTTCTCCACAGCATATGTTTTTTATTATTTATTTATTTGAGACAGAGCCTCAAGCTATCACCCTGGGTAGAGTGCCATGGCATCACAGCTGACAGCAACCTCCAACTCCTGGGCTCAAGCAATTCTCCTTCCTCTGCCTCCCAAGTAGCTGGGACTACAGACGCCTGCCACAACGCCCACTATTTTTTGGTTGCAGCCGTCATTGTTGTTTGGCAGGCCCGGGCTGGATTTGAACCTATCAGCTCAGGTGTATGTGGCTGGCACCTTAGCCACTTGAGCCACAGGCGCTAAGCCAGCACATATGTTTTAAGCAGTATTTACTGGTCCATTGTTGATATGCAGAGTCTGATTAGGGTAAATCAACTTGTACAAACTATAGTCCGGCTCGGCGCCTATAGCTCAACCGGCTAAGGCGCCAGCCACGTACACCTAAGGTGGCAGGTTTGAATCCCCAGCCCGGACCCGCCAAACAACAATGACGGCTGCAACCAAAAAATAGCCGGGCGTTGTGGCGGGTGCCTGTGGTCCCAGCTACTTGGGAGGCGGAGGCAGGAGACTCACTTGAGCCCAGAAGTTGGAGGTTGCTATGAGCTGTGATGCCAGGGCACTCTACCCAGGGGGATAGCTTGAGGCTCCATCTCAAAAAAAAAAAACCAAACTATAGTCCAAGGGCTGTGCTTCTGTGTCAGCTTACCAGCACATTAAAGTGCAAGTTCCCACCCCAGGCTCCTGCTCCTGAATATTAGAACAACTCTGCACCTGGAGTAGCACAAAGGTGTAAGTAGTGAAAAGAGTATAGACAAGGGTTCAAATTCTGGCCCTGTTGCTTTCTAGCCTTGTGTTTTTGCAGAGAATTACAAATCCTCCCTGAGATTCTGCTGCTATTTCCATAAAATGGGTTCAATCATTGTTCCTACCTACTGGACTGCTTTGAGGATTAAACAGTTGAGATAGCACTGTGGCAAGAGCCTGGGCTCTGAACTTGACTGCCCTTGTCTGAATCTCAACTCCACCCCGTATTAATTGTGTAGCCCAAGGTGAATGCCTTAATGTTTTGGTGTCTCAGGTTCTTCATCTTTAAAATTAGGCTAATGGACTCAGTGCCTATAGCTCAGTGGTTATGGTGCCAGCCACAGACACTGAGGCTGGCTGGTTGAACCCAGACTGGGCCTGCTAAGCAACAATGATAACTACAACAACAAAGAAATTGCCAGTGTTGTGGTGGGTGCCTGTAGTCCCAGCTAATTGGGAGGCTGAGACAAGAGAATCGCTTAAGCCCAAGCGTTTGAGGTTGCTGTGAGCTGTGATGCCAAGACACTCTACTGAGGGTGACATGGTGAGACTCTGTCTCCAAAAAAAAAAAAAAAAATTAAGCAAACGACACTTCACTCACAGGGTTGAATAAAACAGAAGATAATGTGGACAAAGTGGCTGCCATGCTTAGTGTTCAGTATTAGCAATCACCATCATCCTCTCCCCACACCATTCTCAAGAAATAAAAATATTAATATTCCCATTTTGCAGATAATGAACATGAGGCTCAGAGAAGTTGAGCAACATGTTCCAGGTCACACAGCAAGCAAGTAGTGGAACTGGCTTTCAGACCTAGATCTACAGAACTCCAGACCCAAGCGCTTAACTGCTATTCCCTCTTTGTTCTTTTTATTTTCCTAATTAGGGGAATGAGGTATGAAACAGCCTATTATCCTGGAAGCCATCTGGAGCCTGGTAGCCAGAGTTGGGCTAAGTCTGTGGGTGAAGTTTATCCTCCCGTGACAAGTCAAGACCAGAATAAGGCTGGAGAGCAGGGGCCAGGCATAGTGGTTCACACCTGTAATGATAGCACTCTGGGAGGTCAAGGCAGGTGGATTGCTTGAGCTCAGGAGTTCAAAACCAGTCTGAGCAAGAGAGAGACACTGTCTCTGCTAAAAATAGAAAAACTAGCAGGGTGTGGTGGTGGGCCTAGCTACTGGGGAGGCTGAGACAAGAGGATTGTTCAAGCCCAAGAGTTTGAGATTGCTGTGAGCTAGGATGATGCCACTGCACTCTAGCCTAGGGTAACAGAGACTATCTCAAAACAAAACAAAACAAAACAACCTTTTTAAGCATTAGCAAGAAAGAGCTGTCAGGGTAGACATGTGTGCTACTGGAGAGGGCTTTTACTTGGGTAGAGTGGTAGGGATACTTTTATTGTGGTGGATGGATTTTCACCCAGATTCTGTGCTTCTTTACGTCACAGCTCTGAGGTCATGGAATGATAACACCTGCAGCTGGAAGTTCCCCTTTGTCTGCAAGATCCCATCTCTGACCATGCATTGATCCAGGCAGTCTTGCCCTTCTGGAGTGAGCTTAACTCCAGAATCATCTTGTAGTTGTGCCTGGTATAGGCTTGATACTGAATAAATGTAAAAACACACATGGGAGGCAAATCTCTCAGATAGAGATTTTAAACAAGTAAATCTCAATTACAAGGAGATAAGAAACCCAATGCAAGCTGGCTTAATAAAAATAAGAAGTGGTGGTGGAATTATTGGCTCAAGTCACAAAAATCAAGGAGTAGCTCTGGATTCAGAGTTTGAATCTCTTTGGCCTGACTCGGGTCACATGCCCATCCCTGAAGCAATCACTTTGGCAAGTGCTGATTGACTGGGCCCTGCTTACATGCACATCACTGGGGAAGAATGGGTTGGAATCAATTTCATCTGATGGGCCTGGGAATGGGGGAACGGGGGGATACTGGTCAAAGGGGACAAACTTTCAGTAACAAGGTAAATAAGTTCTGGAGCCCTGATGTACAGCATTTGACTATAGTTAATGATGTATCGTATCCTTTATGCTTAAGAGTAGATCTTAACTGTTCTCAGCAAAAAGAAGAAGAAGAAGAAAAGTCTGCTGAAAGAATAGCTCTTAGGTGTTTACACACAAGAAGTAAATATGTGAGGTGATGGGTAATTAGCTTGACTGTGGTCATTTCACAATGTATATGTATATCAAAACATCATGTTGTATATTTTGAATATATTCAATGTTTTTCAGTCTTGCTCAACAAAATAATAACTAACATTTATTTATTACACACACACACACACACATATATCTGAAGCACATGGGCTCAAAGAGCAGGTTGGTTCTTGAAGGAAAACAAAAATACTACTAAAGTCATAAATTGTTGGTGAGGATGTAAAATGGTGAAGCTGCTGTAGAAAAGAATGTGGCAGTTCCCCAAACATTTAGACCTAGAATTACCACATGACCCAGCGTTTGCAGTCTGGGATTGACACTCAAGAGAATTTGAAAACAAGTGCTCAAGGATGGACCGTCATAACAGCATTATTGATAAGAACAAAAAAAATGGAAACAATCCAATGTCCATCAACAGATGAATGAATAAATTAAATGTTGTGTGTCCACACAATGGAATATTATTTAGGCATAAAGAAGACTACATACTACGGCCTGAATGAATCTAGAAAACACTTTGCTGCCAGTCACAAAAGACCATGTATTGTGTGATTCCATATATACAAAGTGTCCAGAATAGGTGAATCCGTGGACACAGAAAGTAGATTAGTGGTTGCCAGGTGATGGGCAGAGGGGGAATTGGAAGTGACCTCCATGGGTATGGAGTTTCTTTGGGGGATGATTAAAATGCTGTGCAATTAAATAGAAATAATGGTTTCACAATATTGTGAATGTACAAGAAGTCACTGAATTAATTGTACAATCTAAAGTGACTAAAATGATGAATTTCACATTATATGGATTTCGCTTCAATTTAAAAAAGAAAAAAAAAAAAGATACCAGAAGAAAGAACGCATTTGGGGCAGGAAAAACATAGGCATAGTGTTGCTGGATGCCAAATGTCACGCCCCATGTTGGGCACCAAATGTCGGGATCCTGCCCTGGGAGCAGGGTCCACTAAGACCAGTGGAAACTGGTGGTGACCGACTGAAGAAATACAGAGTTAGAAATGACAGTAAAGAAAGACACATGAGACATAGAGTAGAATTAAAGGCAGGAGCTCGGGTCCATTGCCTGTTTGTGGGCTTCTGGCAATGGCCCCAAGTGTTTCCTCCACTCTGATTTTGTTGAAGTCTATTTGTCCGAGGGTAAGATGAGGGAGGGAACAAAGATGCCAGCAGTTTCTGAGTGAGCATATCAGCTCCTGTTATTATTATTATTAACCTTAAGGGTTAAAGCCTTGAGAAATCTGAAATCTGAGCCTTGTATTGGGAGAACCTCTTGAGATCAAACACACAGATTTCTAGGGAGGTGTTGAACTCCACCAGTTCACTGTGGAGTAAATTGTCACCAGCGTTAATCTCCTCTGAGTAATAGGTGGGAGGGAGGACTTTTCCTCCCATCACCACCACAGAGGATCTTCCTCTGCGATAAGGGATATGAGCTCTTCTGCCTATATCTCAGGGCTCGAGCTACTCCCTTGATCCCTGCCCCAGGCAAATACAAATCTCCACAATGGGTATCTACTTTGCCTGTTTACAAAGATCTTTCCAGGTCTTTGCCATAGCCTCTTCTAAGACCATTTTTCCTCAGAGTGCTCACAGACCCAGCAGAGGTGTTTGTAAGCTATATCCCCAACAGGCTAGAATTTAGAAAAGGCAGGAAGCTCGCTAACAATGGCTAGCTTAAATGTAAACTAGGTGACTTTTCTTTGTACGGACTCACTCAGCTTATTTTTTAGCTATCCTCTTTTTCTGGGGGTGCTTTCCTTTGCCAAGAATGGGGTCTTCAGTCCCCATTCTCCCTGCAGCACAGAGAGGCAGGAGGGCCAGGCTCTATTTCCAATTCTCTGAGCCTTATTTCTGCTTTGATGTGGAATGGGTGAGATAGGGGTGGGGGACTAAAAGTTTGAGCCTTCAGGTACCAGTAAGGAGACAGAGGGAGGAGAATAAAATATGCAAAAACCATGTTAATTAACATTGGGTAAATTATGCTGCTTCTCAGATTTTGCAAGAATATTTTTCTGAAAAGCATGTTAAAATGGGACTTGCTTATAGCTCCAGAATTGGTCATGAGGCCTGCAGTTGAAAAAAACAGATATTAATTATTTCTCATTCTAAAGAGAGCAACAAACAAATGGAGCCAGACAACTTATATAATGCTTTGCAGAATTGGTCCTACTACAGTTAACCAATGAGTGGCAGAAGGCAAAGGACAGTAAGTATGATCCTTACTAAAGTCAGAATTCAATGAGATAATATGTGTAGAGGTTTTAAGCAGCTCCTGTACATAGAGCTTTATTGGTCAGAAATCATTAGCTAAGAGCATTATTATGGTATTGGTTGGTTATTGCCATGTTAACTAGCCACCCCAACTTAAAACATAACACAGTGATTATGGCACCAGGCACATACACCAAAGTTGGCAGGTTTGAACCCGGCCTGGGCCAGCTAACCAACAACGACAACTGAAACAAAAAATAGCCGGGTGTTGTGGCAGGCATCTGTAGTCCCAGCTACTTGGGAGGTTGAGGCAAGAGAATCGCTTGAGTCCAAGAGTTTGAGGTTGCTCTGAGCCACAGCACTCTACAGAGGGTGACAAAGTGAGACTCTGCCTCCAAAAAAAAGAAAAACTGTCATTTATTCTAACACATGCATCTATAGGTCAGCTGGGCTTGGCTGATCTACTCTGGGCTCTTCTGGACAGCTCCGCATCTCACTGCAGATCTCAAGGACAGCTAGAGAGGTTCTGCTTCCTTTCTTTTGGCTGCATGGGCTAGCTAGGGCTTGCCCAGCTAGGCAGAGAGAGGCACTGGAGGGCAGGCAGAAACAGGCAAGGCTGCTTAAGGCCCAGGATCAGAACTGGCACATGGTCAGTTTTGCCCATGTGCCATTGGTGAAAACTAGTCACACCCTAAGTCAAGAGCGGGGGATGAACACTTGCTCTCAAAGAGGCCACAGCAAGGATGTGGATGCCGGGAGGACTGAACAACCAAGGCTGGTCATTCAATGTTGCACAATTATCATCAGAGGAAGGCGGGAGCTATAGGACTGCCCAGATGGCCATAGTGTCAAGTCATGTCACAGCCAGAACAGCATTCAAGTAGCACTTACCAGAAGTGGTGCAGGCCCCTGTGGGAGGGGCCTTCAGTGATGGAGGAGGTTCAGGTGAAACTGAACACTGCCTGAGAAAAGCACACAGACCAGCTGCGGGAACACTCACACTCAGGCCGCCAGTAAATCCAGATGAAGTTAGGGGGAGGCCAGGAACCTTTACATCACCCACCGGACATGAGCTCTGTAAGAACATGTCCACCTTCTTAATTCCCCTTCCCACCTTGCGGCCAGAGGACCTGAGCCTTGACGCAGAGATGAAGGAGGCACGTGTCCCAGAATCAAACTACTTTCCCATCCCACTCTACTCGAAGGGGCTGGAAAGAAGGGGAGGAAGGAAAGACACACCTATGTGCCCCAAGCCTCTTGAGCCATAGCCTGGCCTTCTCTGCTGAAGTCAGAATTTATAAAATCAGCCTGAGTTTAGAAATGTAGCCAGGACTTGACAACTGACCATCACAGAAAGCCATGGAATTATCTCAAACTGTCATTGCAAGACAGAAAGATGGGCTGGGCATTCTGGAAAGCAGTGTGTGTGGGGAGCCCTTGTTTATAACCCACTGGATCAAGACAGCTCAACACAGAACATCTGGAAAGGTCTAGAATAGTTCTGTGCAGAGGGGTGAGGATTAATTAAAAAGCAGTGGCTGCAGAGCCAGGAAGATTGAATGCACTCCTAAACTCTACCATAACCCAATTGTTAGCAAATCATTACACTTCTGAGAACCTTGGTTTCCTTATCTTTCTAAAGAGTGGGAAACAATGGGCAGCGCCTGTGGCTCAGTGAGTAGGGCGCCGGCCCCATATACCGAGGGTGGCAGGTTCAAACCCGGCCCTGGCCAAACTGCAACAAAAAATAGCCAGGTGTTGTGGTGGCGCCTGTAGTCCCAGCTACTTGGGAGGCTGAGGCAGGAGAGGCTGAGGCTGACTCCACAGCACTCTACCAAGGGCAATAAAAAAAAAAAAAAAACCAAGAGTGGGAAACAATCATTAAAGATTAAATGAGATGCTGAATGAAAAGGTTGTGGCACACAGTAGGAGCTCAGTAAGTGAAGGCTGTTACTATTATTGGTAGAAGTAATGGTCCTTTACTGCCTGGGTTTCCTCGTCAGAGAGCAGGTTGCCCTTGGCAAATACTAGGGGATTCAGAGAAACAATTTTCTGTTCCAAAGGTTAGCAAACTTTTCCTTTCCTTCTTTTTTATTTTTTTTCACTTTTTACTCATTTAATCATATACAACTTTTA